ACAACTACTTAAATACTGATTAAAGCTGAAAGTCTGGGGTAATATTTCTTTAAAGAAATTAATACTTTTATTAAGAAAGGATGGATTAAAGTGACAATAAAGACATTTATAATGTTATAAAACATTAATTTCAAATAAATGCTGTTGAGCTTTCATAAATGCTGTTGAACATCACAGAATCCTGAAAAACGTTATCAGTTTCCACAAAAATATTAAGCAGCACAACTATTTCCAACATTGATAATAAGAAATGTTTCTTGAGCACCAAATCAGCATATTAGAATAATTTCTGAAGGATCATGTGACACTGAAAATTCAGCTTTACCGTTGCAGGAATAAATTACATTCTAAACATATTCAGACAGAAAATAGTTATTTTAAACTGTAATAATATTTCACAGCATTACTGTTTTTACTGTATTTTTAATCAAATAAATGCTACCTTGGTGAGCCTAAAATACTTGTTTCAAAAACATTAAAAAAAAATCTTACCAACCCCAAACTTTTGAACGGTTGTGTACCTAGACGTCTTATGCTTGTGCTTTCATTCATGATGCTGAGATTGTGTTTTCTGATTAAACCATAAGTTGACTGGCTTGTTGAATGCAACATTGTTTAAGGATCATTGCAAGATTCTTACTGATTTGCCAAGGATGTGCCAAGTTGCTTACATTTGTAATGTTGCAATCGAACACATGCAGAGGTGACATATGACTTACTGAGTTTGGGCACGGGTTGAGTGTCCCAAAACTGGTACTTGTGCTTTGTGGCCTCATCTATGTTTTTGGCTGGACCTTGACAGGTGGACAGGAGCTCCATAGCTCTCTGAATGTCCTGCAATTTCTGCATTGGAATGGCAGGGTTCTGGGACAGGAACAGAGGGAAATCAGCCTCTTTCTCTTTTTAACAAAACCTGTTTTTATAACACTACACAAAGCAGAAACCTTTATCTCCTGAGAATCAGAGGCAGAGTCAGACTTGGCTCCTCCTGAGCTTGGCTTCTCCTTCTTTCTCTTTTGTTTCTTCTTCTTTTTCTTTGCACCAAGATCACCCCCAGGACTCCTTAACAAAACCAAAACACTGTTCAAATACCAGATATACCTTACTGACAAAGCACAGACCTGTTTATGGGGTTCAAAGACAAGCATGACAGGTGAAAGTGTCAGTGGATTACTGCTATAACAATAGCCTGGAGGGTGACTGCCAGAGGAAATACTATTAAAACAAGTGTCAATCTCTTCATGGAAGCAGGTCAAACTTGGCTTCCTGAGGGATGTAAGTCTGCCTGACAACAACAGACAATCATCATCCTCTGTCCTCGAGCTGACAAAGATGCTCGACTGCAATGCTGCTCGCTCAGCTCATGAAGAGGATCAAGCGTGTTTGTATTGTTCAGAGATGATGAAGACAAACTAATGAAACCAGGAGGACGCTTTCCACTCCCATTATGTAAATATGAACAACTGCAAAACCAAGTAGACTTATAAATACGTTCAGAAATATAGTAGAGAAGAGCCTGGAGGACTTGTCTGACTGCTGAGTTCAAATAAATCCTTGAACATTAATGACGAGCTAACTACAGCTAACTACTTTGATTCCAACGCTGTATAAAGTAAATATCGACACTTATTTAGGCTATTTTAAAATGTTTATATATACCGCTATATATCCATCAAGCAATTAGCGAGCTATTACGTTAGCCGACTCGTTTAAAATACACGAATTCTCCTCCTGGTTACCTGGTTGCTAAGCTAACAGATTGTTTACATCTCTGGGGCAGTTAAACGGCGACGGGATGCCGCGGCTAATCCTCGCGCAAACAGCAGCTCTTTAGCGCCTGCTCACCCCTGCATGTGCTCATTTTCCTCCTCGTTGTCTCCGTCGATGCCGCAGGTGTCCTGGTCGTCCAACTCCAGGCTCTGCTGGCTGGCCGCGGACTCGCTGTCCTCCGCCATCATGAATGAATCTGCTGCAAATCCTCACAAAACCACTCAATAAAAACCACGGAAAACAGCACCGTCTACCGATTATTGCCACTAATAGCCCTTGAGATTGTAAATGGAGACACACAAGGCCAACGAGAATTAAAAAAAAAAAAGAGCAAATATTTTAACTTTATTATTATTAAAAATGTTTTATTATTGTTTAATTGTAAAATTATATTATAACAGGCTAATAATGTTGCTCAAGTTTACAGTAGTCTGGTTTACCCTATCCCAAAGTAAACTTTGACACAATGTGTAATATCACAATTAAAGCAGTATTTATTTGTTCACAATGGAATGTATTTTTCTACAAAAAAATTATAATAATACAAAATAAAAACATAAAAAGCTAAGTAAAACCATAGCTTGTAATCAAAATATAAAGTCGTGTGCCATAAATGAGAAAATAATTAGTGATAGTAGATATAAACAGTAGCAGCTGTTTTGTTTACGAGTGAAGTGCTTTGCAATGACTGCATTGTGTTTAACAACTTGTGAGTAGAAGCTGCTCCATAACCAGTTGGTTTTTGCCTTGAAGCTTTAAAACAGTTTCCCAGATGGTAAAAGGGAGAACAGACAATGTTTGTTTCAATCAGACATATTCCAATTAGCTCATTCTGTACTGTCAAACATGAAACTCTTCTTATGGTCTTGGATTATGAAAGAGATCGGTATATATCTCATCAACCCTTGATTCATAGCCCTAAAAGTGTAGATTAAATTGAATATTAGTATATATATATATATTAAAAAATATATTAGCATATTAGAATAGATATTATTTATTTCATTTAAATATTAAATAATATGACTGGTTACGGAAAGTCAAGTAATTTTTATACATTCTTTAGTGTCTTCCAGTGTAGTCAGTCCGAGATCTGTCGCATCCGATTTATCATAAAGTGACCCTGATAATTCTTGTGTTTATGATTTGCATTGGATATGTTGAAAAATAATGTTCAACTAGCACTGATCAGGTTTTTTTTTTTTTTTTCAACTAGCCCTGATCAGGTTTTTTTTTTTTTTTTTTGCTTTATTGGATAATAGGCCTGAATTATAATACAAGCAACCAGTCCAGACATTCAAAGTAGATTGCTGAAGAGCTGAATGACACAAGGTTTCTTACAAAGTGGTTACCCTGGCAACAAGTCAGACTTTCAACAGCTTTCAAATAATGATACATCGCTTTCAGTCCTACATCAGTACATACACACACTGCAGAGTATGTCTACAGCAGACACACAGCTACACCAAGCAACACACACTCACACGAGCATAAACAACTGGGTGAATGAATATGTACATACATACAAACAAGGCAAAAGAATAGACCAGAATCATAAGCAGCACTGAATACACAGGGGGTTTCAAAAGTCTGAGACTACCGTGATTGAAAAACATATTTTTAAAAAATTAAAAAAATAAAATAAAACAAATAAAAATCAATGCTATTTTTCTATGACTTTCTATGACTATGAAAATACTTTCGGTAATGAAAAAAATGCTATGTCCTCTTTTTGCTTCAAAGACATCAGCACTTGAGTTGCATAAACAAATGTTTCATAAACTATTGTTTCAAGCATCAAAATCTTATAAGGGTTAAAATAGATTCTAAATCCCAGATTTTCAGTGTGGTTTCAGATGTTTGGAGCCCACTGTATATCCAGATACAACAATTAAAACACACACATACAATGAGATCAAAGGAGGGTGTAATGCCACATGAGTCAATATATTGTGAAAAACATCAAATAATATGACACAAAATGATAGTGGAGAGGAAAAATAAATCTAATGATGGATATAAATTAGCATTAGAAAGGCACTTAAGACAAAAAAAATAATAAAATAACCCCGACAGTTTGGGAAAGAAAAGCTGGTGGCTGTTTACGCGAGTGAGTGCGGTTGCATCCAGCCCTCGTCTGAATGTGCGGTTCAATTCACTCACACGCTAAGGCAAGTTCAAACCAAAATAATAATAATACAACTAAATTAAAATACAGTGGTTAAAATAAAAAATGAGGCATATAAAGCTACATGATCCTTCAGTTTAAAGCAATGCATAGTTTTTTTTTTTCTTTAACAGGTGGGTCTGCTGCTTTGAAGCTGACCAGCAATGTTGGCAAAAGTCTTACTGTAATCCTAAGGTTGAAGAAATGCACATTTGAAAATCTGTGCTCAACACAGCCAAAATGATTAACAAGAACAAATGATGCATTATGTAAACTTATTTGGTTCACAAAGCTTCAGCTGTATTCTACTCATGAATTCATTATACCAATAAAACTGAAAATGGGTGAGATTTAGACTGTTGATCCCATTATAGTGGTTTTATGTGTTTTTTAACCCATTAAGATGAGGAAGACATTCCTCCAGTCATCCCATAAAATGTTCAAAAATAAGTGCTGGGAAACACTTAAGAGGTGTAGTTGCAGTGTACACGTGTTGCCACTAGATGTCATATTGCTCAAGAACAGCAGCATCTCATAAAGCTTAAACAACTTTTCCCCTTCAATACAATGGATTGCAATATTTTTTGCTCAAAGTGTATGTCTGGAAAGCCATAGCAGATATGCATTAGATTGGTATTTTAAGGTGTTTTTTTTTTCTTGAAAACTTCAGTTTGTTCTTCCTCGTACAGTTGTGAGGCAGAGCTGCTCCGATATTCATTTGTGCTATGGCTTTCTTGGCTTTCATTGCCACAGGCAAACAGTCACGCACAGACCTTCGCTCATAAGGCAACTCCATTCAACAGCTAGACCATGATGGAAGCACTTAAAGGGACAGTTCACCTAAAAATGAGACTTCTGTCAGCATTTACTCACCCTCATGGCATTCCAAACCTTTATAATGTCTTTTATGTTCTCCAAGAGAAAGTACAATATTTTGAAGAATGCTTCAACTGTTCGGTCCATACAATGAAAGTAAATGGAGTCTAAATCTTGTTTTTGACTGTATGGACAAAAATACATTTTTAATTGTGTCCCACAGAAGAAAGTCATACAGGTATGGAACGACATGAGTAAACGACGACAGAATTTTCATTTTTTTTGATGAACTATCCTTTTAAAAGGCGTGTCATTTTAGGTTAAAGGCCAGTAGTGGTCGCTCCTCTCGTTTCTGCCACGGACTCTTCTTGTTCTCATCTTCACCACCATCATCAGGGATGACCAGGTTATCTGGCCGGCTGCTGCTCATGTGCATTTGAGTCTCCTCAGTCCTGAAAACATCACTATCTGTCCCCGTCTCCTCCGCCATTTCAACCACAGGCTCAGAGAGAGGAGGTGGTGAAGGAAGCTCAGGTGGAGGCAACGGGGGAGACAAAGTCCCTTCGTCTTCCTCTTCCCTCTCTGTTTCCTGTAATAAACCCCCTAGAGAGTGTTCTTCAGGGCTGCAGACTGGCATTGGGCTACCGCTGTTCTCCGCATTAGCATTTGAGTCCTCTACAAACACTAGCGGTGTATATCCGACCACAGGCACTGCAGGCTGAGCCCCAACTTCAGTTTTACCCCTGACTTTTTCACGAAAACGCCGACCCGGTGTGATGTCACTCATATCAACCCCAGAGTCCAGACTGGCGTCGTTGCTTCCGACACAACTGCTGTTGCATCCTGCCCTCTGCAAGTCGATGTACGAATGGCGGATGTGGGCATTGGAGTGGCCGTCCAGTGACACGAACCAAGCTCTGGGATGGGGGAGCGGCTTTCCCCCCCTGAGCTCCATCAAAGTCTTTTCGGCCAGAAGCTGATCTTCTCCGTTCATCTGCACCACATCCAGGCCTGTTTGACTGAGCGAGTTGGGGATGGAGAGATCAGCGGGAAGAGTGGCCGTCTGCAACGTCCACTCCTCAACTCCTCCACCTCGGTTGTCCCCCGTCCCTTGCGTCCCCCCTTCCTGCTCTCCTTTGCCCCACGGTTGCAGGACTTGGCCTTGGGGCTGATGGCACGCACTGAGTTCCGCCTGAATGCTTTCCAATTCGCTCTGTACATCCGACTGCAAAAGAAGCGCTTGGCCCGACAGAGGGTGTGTCCCTGGAAGTCGCATGTAGTGGGCAGGGATGACGAGGGTGGGACGAGCCTTGCGGTAGGTCTCTTCCCCTTGGTTGACTTGCAATTCGGAGGTGCAGCAGAGCAGGGCTCCAGGTCGGTGAAGCGGGGCGGGACGCTCCAGATGGTCTACTGAGCGGGACAGCATGTAGTCGGCTGGCCGGCGCTCGATTCCTTGCTCCCGCTCTGGGGATCCGGCAGGACTTGTGGATGTGGCTGAAACAGGAGAGATTATGCGGTTATCACGCAAGCCTGATTTACTCTCCGAAGAGAGTCGTCCTGCAGAGGTGGTGTGATGCAATGGATGGGGGGACGAGGATGAGATGGACATGTGGAGGGGATGGATGGATGAAGTCACGATGGAAGTATAGCTCCGCCGGTACTCCCCACGCCCCACTGGTGAATCATAACCCTCGGAAGGATTGTTCGAACAAACCGATTTGAGGGGAAATCTCTCTACTGAGTGTTTGTAGTGGCTAGATCCTCGGCTATGGAGCTCGCCGTGCGAAGCTGCAAGCTCATTGGTGGAGGAGTCGTAGGGGGTGGGTTTAAGCATAGGTGTGTGCATGTCTGGCTCTGCCCCATTGTGGTCTAGGTGAGTCTCACTGATGAGGTTCAGGTGTGACATGGAAGTAGCCTGGTCTCGTTTAGAGGCATCTAAAGCTGAGGATAGAGTGAACTTCCTGTGGGCAGGGCGTAAGCGGGCACACTTCCTCCTGAAATCACAGAAACATGCTCTCATAAACACAAGGGAAAAACTTTAATTTTCCTCGACCACACACATACATAATATATATATATATACAGTATATATACCACATATGAATTTATATGCAATTTATTTCTCTTAATTTATTTCCCTTATATCAGATGATGCATCATCATCCTGTCTCTACGTTACTATATGTTACATTTTAGCAGTAAATGCACAGTTTTTAAGAGACTTTATGCTTCTTCGGACAAAAAAGACACGCCTGCAATAGTAGAGCAGCAGACAGAGCAGGAAGAGCAGTATCAGGGCCATGCCTCCTAGTATGGCCAGCAGGAAGACTGTGTGATAAGTGCTAATGTCCTTCGCCACCACTGGACCTACAACAAAACATACATACTTGGTGTTCAGCATAGAGGAATCCATCCATCCTATTCACTTCAGACTATTCACATTTCCACTGTCCTCCTGACCTCCACTCTACAGTATCCATCGATAACACTTTTCAACAGGAGAGATTTCGTATAAACATTATTTTCATGCCAAACTGAAATCCACCCACATATTGACATTATTCTCTCAGCTGGTGAATAGGAATAGCACAGCGAATGTATAAACAACTACAAGCCCTTGTATGTCTGCCCGTCGGGCTCCTCTCTCCATTAATGGCCATATAAAAGGGTCAAAGAATGCAGAGTCATCTAAACAAAATTGAAAAATGTCCAGAAATGAATGAGTGTTACCTGTGTTTATGGGAGACATGGCTGCGACCCAATAGCCAAGCTGAGGGGCAATATATGTAAGAGTTAACTGCTTCCCCTCTCTCTGGATGTATCCCAGACTGCTCTTCAACCAGGCCCCTGCACAGACACACAAAACACACATATAGAACACATTTAATACTTTATTTTATACTTAAAATACTTTAATACTTCAAAATATTTCATTTTATATTTGTATAATAAATATTTTAAATACGATATCACAACTAAAGTACAACAAAATACAGTCATTTAATTAATCCCAAAGGGAATATAACCTTCAATCTTTAGGACATCTGCGGTCAGCAGGTGATTTGAGTCGAGCGTTGTGACCAGGCAGTGCAGAACACTCGAAACACTTACACTCTACTGTCATCCTATCAGGTTTCTCTATTGATCACATACAGTGCATTCATTAGACTTTCTACTGCATTATTCTGCCTAGATGCTTTGCCAATTGTTTATGGGGTCAGACGGGGATTAAAACTATGCCAACACACACCACACAAACCACAGGAAGTGCTTCTATCAGGATCTGAATCTGGGTGGTCATGCATTCCCAATAAAAATGAACATTTCAAATAGGATTCATGATTCAAATTCAAGTATTTCCATATTTCCAAGAGTCTTAACTGCATTTACACTGTGAAATGAATGCACGTTGAATTTACCAAGCTGATATGTAAATTGGTACACATTTGAGGATGGGGTCATTTGTTGCCACTTGGTGGCAGTGTATGTTCATGGAAGGATTATGGAGGACTAAATAATGAAGATGGAGGAAAGAAAATAAAAACTAATTTAGGTAAAGAAGAACATATACAATGTTTGTCTACGGTAGTGTAGACAACCATAATGAGAGGGAATTCATCATTTGTTGGTGCAAGGTAAGTATTTTTGCTTTTTCTCCATAAGCACCAGAGCTTCTATTGATCTGATCTGTACCAGATAAGCAATCACACACACTGCATTGACTACACGGTTCACAAACAGAGTACTGAGCAAAATGCTGATGTGCACATACAGAAGAGAGAGGCTAAAGAATGATTCAGCATTGTTTACACACAATTATCTCCATCCACACGTGACTGTTTGCGCACAGGAATATCATTGGACATCTTTCCACACTCTTAACAATACAGTCACTTGCACAACTCTGTAATGTAAAAAACTTTTTGAATTGGATGATCAGTGTAAATTGTCCTTATTTTGTCTTCTGGGAAACATATATGTATTTATGTAGCTTCTGAAGTGCAGTACTAAATGAAAAAAATATGATCTTTAATCAAAATAAGAAAAATTTACACATCATCCTGTTCAAAAGTTTACACCCCTGGCTCTTAATGCATCGTGTTGCCTTCTTGAGCATCAGTAAATGTTTTAACCTTTTGTAATTGTTATGTATGAGTCCCTCAACTGTCCTCAGAGTGAAAAGATGGATCTCAAAATCATACAGTCACTGCTGGAAAGCAGTCAAATATGCAGAAGATGCTGGAAAACCAAAGAATGCGCAGGAGCTGAAAGATTTTTCTGAAGAACAACAGACAGTTTAACTGTTCAGGACAAACAAGGGACTCATGAACAACTATCACAAAACATAAAAACAGTCATGGATCATGCAGGAAATGACACACAGTATTAATATTAAATTTTAAAAGTCATTTTTATAAATTCAGTTATTATTTTGTCTTGTGGAGTATATATAAACATCCGTTATGTGAAATAGCTTATTCAAGACAGTACTAAATAAAAAACAACATGCAATTTTCATGATCCCTCTTATTTTGAGAAAATTATTAACATTTTGCAAATTCTTCAAGGGGTATGTAAACTTATGAGCACAACTGTATGTGTACATATAGGCGCGCACACAATCACACAAACAATAGTTACATTGGATTCAGAGACACAGTGAGCATAATGTGTTAAATGTGAGCATTTAAAAGCAGCTAACACACAAATATGAAACCAGGTGACTTTGTTTGTTTACTATGTTGCAGAGCCTGACAATTTTTCATTGTAGTTCTCTAATTATTAAAAAAAAAGGAACAGTGTAATTAAATGCTGCGTGATGCCAGGGGCTTTTCAGTCTAGTGTTTATCCCCGTGTCACAGCAGAGTGCAGACAACAAAGCAGCTTACATCTCTGTGCCCTACGAGAGTAAATCGAGTTAGCGCAAGTCGCTGTTTTCAACCTCATTCTCTGCTCTGTTTATGAGCGGCTGCTAGGAGACAACAGTGACAACAGAGCAGTCCCAGAGAAGAGGCCTGAAGTTATGAATTCTGAAAGGGTTTTTTCTTAATACTTCATCCTACATCCTGTGTCTCTCCCCTGTCCCTCTTCGCAATCTGATTTAGATTTAGACATATATTCATTCACTGCATGCTCATTTCCTCTATTTTTACATTTAGAGAACCTTTTCCGTCATCTAATGCTCACTTAAAGTTAATCACTAATAATGTAATAGCACTGCTAAATGGAATTTTCAGCAAATCTCAAAATAAATATCAGTTTTTCATACTATACATTATGTTGTGAGGCCTCAACTCACTTTTAGCATTAAAAATGAATACATTTTAGTTTTTAGACTTTTATTTTTTTTCAGACAAAATATTATAAATAATATTAATTTTATTATCAAACATTTATTGGTTATCAGCAATAATATGAAATTAATTATCATCTTATTGGTTGACCGAATAGACATTCAAATCACAACATATCAGAGCTTACAGAGTGGAAGAACTCACTGAAGATCCTGTGTGCACATATTTTGGTCCATCACTGCCCGTCTTGCTGCCTCTCGCACACAACACTGGATTCTTCCATCCTGCTGCGGGTGTGTGAGTGTGCTGAAGTGAGTCTCAGGCTTCTGCAGCAAAGCCTCCAGTTTTGTTGAAAGCATTATAAATTACACTAGCGGTCAACAGTCAGCGTTACCCACCCCCAGAGGACTCCGAGTGTGGCTTTAAACCTCCGCTTTAAAGCCACAGACATGTATATACAGGTTAAATGTCTATTTTCATGATAATTTTATATATATATGTCTAAATTCAAAAATACATCAAATGTCCACTGAAATACATAATAAATGTGGATATATTTAGGGATGCACGTAACTACATATTTTCAAAATCAACAAAGGATGTCTCAAAAGACTGGTATTGTAAAAGATTACCTCATGTGACCCAAGCAGTTATCGCAAGGACAGAAAAAAATTCGCTGTCTTTGAGAATCATGGGTCAATTTAGTCTGAACTGAAGAAATTACCAGATTGGCTCTGGGCTGCAATTATAGCAATGATTATCGTACCACAGGGAAATTATGGGATATTCAGAGTTCAGGTTCATGAGGTAAAGACCTTTGTCTGTCAGATCATGGCGGGATAAATTCTTTGTATGCTCACAGAGACCCAGCGCTCCAGACAAATAAAGCATCAAGAGATGACTGTCCCAGTGTCACTTCACACTTAAGCCTAAAACAAGCCAGCAGATACACCAAGCCATCAAAACAACAGAAAAGTGACTCCAGATTTTCAAGTATAAGAGAAACACTGCGTCATCCACAACTAATTCAAAGCAACTTGGTTGATAAAGAAAATCCATAGATGTTGACTAATGTAACATTTTTATAGCAATACATTTATGATATATCTGTTAAAAATTCAAAGCCCTTTGGCACAAGATCCTGTGAATTCCACCTCAGTCTGGGGTTAGAATTGAAAGCCACAGTGTGAAAACCCCTTGTGACTTGGATTTGATTTGGAAGAGATTTATTGTGTTTGTCCATTATTTGATTATTTGACTGAGTATTTGCCTACTGAACAATTTCCCTTTTCATCATGGAAATCTGTATAATCTAAAAAAAAAAATAAATAAATAAAATAAAATAAAAAATCAGAGCAAAAACAGCACCTTTAACAAGATGTCTCTTCATTTGGCTAGATAAGTCTTTTTATGGTGACCCTACTTTAAACGCAAAGAAAATCTCGCTTATTTTTTGTTTAAAAAATGTAGTCATAAAAAAAAAGATCTGTATGTGTGAGAGATTTTCTGAGTTTTTGACCTGAGAAACATCTTTCCATTAAATTTCCTTAAGAAAGATTCAAAAACAGTCTGACATCATTCCCACCCAGCTGAGGTTTGAACACTTCCTCTGGACTTATTTGCCTCAGAAACCAGGAAGACAGGAAATCTGAAGGCTTTGAAGAGATCACAATCTCACATACAAACACACAGTAAACTCGCCTCGGGCAGGAAACACCTTCAGCACCTTTGGTGTAACAATTAATTGCATAACTCCTTAGATGTGATTTGTTAGTAACAGTTCATGTGATTTACGTTCACATGCTCCAAACAGGAATGCTTGAATATCTACTATAAGATGAATGTGTTATAAACTCACCCAGTTTAGGGTCAAATCTCCAAGCGGGGATGTGATCATTCTCTTTCAAGCCACTGTTTGCGGGAAGAGGGACGCTCACACTGATTGGCTCACTGACATGAAGCTCCGCCCCATCGCTTCCCAAAAGATGGACACTTATAGCAGCTACAGGAGTCAACTCGAACTTCCGATCACTGCCTATTAGAGAAAGAAAAGTAAACAGTATGCATAAGAGACATACACAAGGTGAGAAAAAAGACAAATAAAGAATATATTATA